AAAGGAGGGAAATGGAAAAAAAAAAGTAGGAGAGCAAATGGGACAAAGGGGATGTGCAGGGAGATGGGCCTGGATGATGCAAAGGTCGGAAAAGGAATTCAAAGAGCGCAAAGTAGATTCACTGAAAGTCATTACCTGCCACAAATTACCTGGGCAACAAGCTTAAAATAAATAAATAAATCAGTTTGCATCAACAACAGAGGAGAGCTGGAGAGACTGGGGAGATGCAGACGAAGAGCTGTGGGGGGAGAGGGAGGAGAAGGAGGTTTGTGGAGGAGGGTGGGGTGGGGTGGGGTGGGGGGGGCAGCGGCATGGAGAGGGATGAAAAATCGATGGACAAACAAGTGAGAGGGCGCTCGCAAAGAGGAAGCCAAAGGGGGGAAAAATTAAGCATTTAAAGAAATTCTGTGTCGGTGGTTTGGAGGGAGGATGAGAAAAGGAGAGAGACAGGGGGAGAAGTGGGAGGCCAGGAGCACAAAAGCGCCTGAGGGTGGAGGGGAGGGGGTGATCGTGGCAGAGACGGACGGACCACAATGCCCTGCAGCTCGATAGGGTTGAGTGACCACATCAGGTCTAGAGGCGAGCGGCGAGACATGGGCCAAACCTGATGGCTTTAAGTCAAGAGGATTAGAGTCGGGGTCTCTCTCTCCCGCTCGCTCTCTTTAACCCCCTTTTTCTCCCCCCCTCACATCTCTCACCCCCATCTCTTCATGTGGACTGCCCCAGCGCAGGCCGTCCAATCAGCAGAGAGAAGGACCAAAGTATTACTAATAGTCTGGTTTTAATGTTTCAAGTGGTAAACCGGAGAGCTGGCCCGAATGCTCGGCACCAAGGTAAACAGGTCAATAGTATTGATCCTGATTCTGACTCTCACCCCTCTCTCTCCTTCACACACACACATGCATGCACACACAAACACACACACACACACACACACACACACAGCTTCTCAGCTCGGAAACATGGAATGCATTAGAAGGTTTCTGCAATGCACCCAAGTTGAAGATGGGGAATCGACACATGCATGCACAAAAACACACACAGATATGGAAACACGCGCATACACACACCTTTTTTTTTTGCAATATTCACACATGTAAAACAGCAAAGCACACTCTAATACTGTATTCCCACCGGCTTCTACTTCTACATCCTAACACAGGCAACAAAACAGGTACATACAAACACATATCGACAACCTCATATCACTGTGTCTAATTTTATTTTGTCTAACAACACAATAAATAAATAAAAAATATATATATCTGTGGAGGTAAGTGGGTAGGAAGGTTGTGGAAACGGCGGCAGCAGCTGCACCCAAACACGAGGGCAGAGCGAGTCATTTGAATACAGATTCCTATTGTCCTTCTTATGTCAATAAAACTCAGCAGTGCTAAGGAATTAGCGTGGTCAGCAACATTACGGGACTAATTAGCATTTTCTTCTTTCTTCTGCTGGTTGATCTGTTTAAACAAGCCTGGGGGGTCTGCTGTACTTACTGTAATTAAAGCAAAAGGAGCAGCTCTTGCTTGAGAGAAAGGCACACACAAAGGCTTCCTCACCGGGGGGACTGCAAAACTAAGTATCCCAGAGTGGCTATTGTACATTGAAGTACAAGAGGCTGTACAATAAGTAAAGTTGGCAGGTTAGAGCAGCAGTTAGTAAGGGGTTTTTTTTCCATCCAAATGGGACTCAGATTTGTTCCTCAATATGTCCATACCTGTGGATGAATCCCTCAATGATACTTAGTTAACCCCTAGCCAATCTGAAGGCACTGGAAAGTTGCTGAAGCTGCACACGAGCGAGGCAAAAGAAAATTCCTCTTGGGCAATGCATAAAGAATATCAAAAGTGATAACGAAAGGAGCATTAAATACACAGTGTGAGTTTTAAAAAAGACTGAGGAAGCCTTTTTTCTGCTTGATTCTTCTTTTTCTCAAGCGAGAGAGAGAGAGAGACAAAAAAAAGGAGGTGAAACAAAAGAATATAAAAAAAGAAGAAAAGTTATTTAGCAGAAAAAAATGACAGGGTTGCTAACAGACAAGAAATAGAAACAGATAACCCCAGAGACAGACAACCCCTGTCCTCTAATACCACAGAGTCTTTTCTGGCTGTGGGCCACGTTAGGCGTGATCACTGAGGCATTAACAGCACAGCAATGACACCGCTGTAACGCAGCCACTTTGCTCTGGATTATGACACTCAGCGTAGATTGGATAACCCTTATTATGGCATTTATTTAAGCTAACACGAGGTAAATTATAGGCTGTCATTACACTGATATCAACGCTGTTTAGACAAGAGCTGACAGTGAAAAACTGCTGTTGCATGATTTGGCTTCATGTGATTGATGCAACAATTTCTCTGATATGAAGTGTGTCTGCTCTGAAGTGTGTAATTATTTCATAAGTATGTAATTATTTCTGAAAAGCCTTATTTTAGAACGAATTGTCCTCAAACTTCATGCTCATTAAATAATTTTGAATAGGAGCATGGCCTCTGATTCCCTGCTAACCCACACATGCACTTAATGCCATCCGAGAGCAAATGAGAGAGTGTGCTCTGTCGAACGGCTCAGTGCCCTCAGTCTTTGCTTCATGCTTGTTATACGTCTACTCCTGCTCGAAGAGACTAGCAGAAAGTGGCTGCACTCAGCCCTTCAAGAATATGCAACTGCCACTGCTAGGTCTAAATACGTAAGCAGAAGGAAACAAAGGGGTTTTGGCTTCTTTCTTACCCACTAAGACACCTTCGATCACCTTATGTGTATTGTGCACAGATATAAGTGTCTGAAGGTGAAGGAAAATAAATAAAAAATATATCTCAAATTTATTAATAAAACAACCAGGAAAAAAAAATGTTTATGGTGATTGACAAGTCTTATCATAAGGACTCACAAGTAGTCTATAGGAAACATCCTAATAAGTGGTTGACCGATTTGGGTTTTCTATAGAATGTATATACTATAGACAACTTGGCTCCGCCTTCCGTCATTATACACAGTTTACAGGATTTTCTCCACTTCCTAGAACCACTTGCGCAGTAGCATAGTATGCATTCGGCTGGAGAGTTGCTGTGATGACGCTCGGCTTAAACAGAGTATACCCCGGGTGAGCTACGCAATCTTCGTACATCCATAGGCTGTATCAAGTGTCAATCAAAGAAAAATCCAACCCCCTTAATAACTTTTAAAAATGGAGCTACACTGAAAAAAGAGGACTTGAGCACAAACCAGTCTTACTGTAAGTATGTGTCAACATCGCAAGCAGGGGAGAGAAAAATGTATATTCTCTGTAATAAATTTTCAAAGTTCGTCCACAGCTCCATAGGGATTGCTGGAGGAGGCGGGATATATGACTTATACTGCAGCCCGTCACCAGAGGGTGCTGTTCTCGCGGTGGCTTCATCCAGCGAGGAGACAGACAGCGTCCATTCTAAATACAGTCTATGGGTTTTTCACTTGCTGTTACCAATGCCAATATTTACAGGGCAGGACATGCAACTGCTCTTGTATAACGCCATATTGCATTGTTTTGTGTTGAGTTTTATAAAATATAACAATTTGATAGTAATTGCAGCCATTACCCTACTACGATCTAATATGCTACTTTATATTAAAGAAAGAAAGAAAAGAAAAGAAAAGAAAAGAAGAAAAATAGAGTGGGCTATGCTATAGATGTCATAACATGACATATTAAAGTCCAAAGCAATATAAAACTGCATTATTCTATAATAATAACTCATAACTCTTGTCAGTAACTGTTCAGTTTGATGTGTTGTCTTTAAATGTGTGATCATTTAAGAGGATGTTGACAGCAGCTTCAATTACAAGACTGCCTGCAATGTCTGCAGACGTAATCTGTTAAGTGTTTTGAAAACATGACATCATGAGCCCAGATATCAGCTGATGAGGATTATTCAGAATGTCATTAATCAGCCTGATCAATCAGTCTGTCTGTTATTCTGATGTTTGATACTTTTGTTATTTCACTGAATATTTTCTCATGTCAGATTCTGCTGAATTTGTAAATGGCACATGACAGAGGTATTGCAACAACAATTACATGGTCTCCATGCCGGCTGTGTGCACTACAAGGCCACAGGCTGTTATTGAGAGTAGCCACTGCACTGACAAGTAAACAGTGTGTGTGTGAATGTGTGTGTTGTGACATGTTTGCCAACACATATGTGTTCATTGTGGTCTATTTCCACTTTCTACATGATGCATGATGTGCATGCATGCCAGTTGTGTGTTTTTGTGTACTGTATGTGTAAGTGTGTATAAGCCCTGGGGAAGAACCCCGTCTTAAGTAGTGTGTGACAGCCAGCCATCCTGCCAGATCAAGACCTGTCAGCCATGCAACCCAGCCCAAGCCACATCCCCTCTCTTCCTCCTCCCTCCTCTTCTTCCATCTTTCCATCTCTCCCTCACCATCCCATCCCTCCATCACTGCTACAGCCTTAAACAAGCACCAGCACTTATCAGCCAGAAAAATAATTGGGAGGTCTGCCGCCTGCAATCCGCCGGTCCTCCCCTTCGTCCACCCGGGTCGCTTCAGCAGTGTCAGCTCCCATTAGAGGGAACGCCAGGCGCCGGGGCAAAGTCTAACTATCTCTATCACTGACTCTTGTCTGCTGCCCATCTCCCATTCTTGGTTTTTTTCCTCATTCTCAGTCATTACTGCTCTCTTTCCATTCATCAATATACCCTTCTTCTTACCCACCTACCAATATGACTCTGCATCTTTAAGTCAAATGTTTGATTTTTTGAAGATCCAAATTAGCAACAATGAGCATAAAGCAGTCAACTGTGAATCTCAAAATTTAAATTTTTTTCTTTCCTTAAGGAGAGAAAAATGGAGAAAAGAAATATGGATCTTCTTCCTTAAATGGTCAACAAATAGACTAGAGAGGGGGCGTGTGTGTGTGTGCGTGTGTGTGTGTTGGGTTAAAGTGGACGTTGCTGTGGGTGCTCTCCAGAGCATCAGTACGTTGTCACTGTCATGTCACAAGGCCGTCTGAGCGTCTCGTGTGGTCGAGCCGCTTGGCAAGCAGGGAGACAGAGAGATAGATCCAAAGGGGCCAGCGGGAGTTGATGTTGATGTTGATGTTGCAACTAGGGATCTGTGTGTTTGTGTGCGTTGTGTGTGTTTCTACACTGAGGGGCCATGACAGGGACAGCGGTTCAGCTGTCATTCCGGGCGCTGCGATGCGATTGGCCGGGGCTGACAGGTCATGGAGGTTCATGTCGGACAGAGCACTGTGTGGGCGCTTGTGTGTGTCAGTGTGTGTGTTGTAGTACAGAAGGGGACGCCTGGGTATTAGCTCCCAAACGTCAAAGTCACTCAGCTGTGTTGCTCTACCTCTCCACGGAAGCATGACATCTCTTGACCTCCCTCAGCCCAGTGGTGTTTGGCTGTAATAACCCTTCATTGATACACAGGGGTGTGTATAATGTAAAAGCAGCTCCTGCACACTGAAATCAAATCTATTTACCTATGATACCCAGGGGTAACTGCCTGCATATGACCATCTATAGCTACACAAAAAGCCTCAAGGCAGTGTGACTCCATGACCCCATATTTATACTTTTTACCACACCAGTACTCAGTGATGTCCTATAGGGCCCCAAATGGTCAACCAGTGCACCACAATGAACCCTCCACAGTTGACTTTTGCATAAGCGAGGGCACTTACCAAACCTCTGACCCATTTCTGAATACATTACACACCTAACTACAACTCCCACGCACATGTCCTCCATCGCCTGGATACCATTTTGCCCTTGAGCCACTTTCAGCCTAAGCTTTTCCCCATGTAAGTCCAAACGGCCGAAACTGCCTCCCACAATGCATGAGGTGACATTGAGAGGCCCCCAAGTCTCTGCAGATTTGGGGTATCCATCCGGCTGCCCGCACACAAATAAATAATGCAATGGCCGGCTAATGCAGTGGGCCCTGACGCAGTGGCTGACGTTGCCTGCAGCTACCTTTGGGCTGGAAAATAATTACCATGCAAAAGAGGGGGGAAAAAGGCCCCTATACATAGTGTAATGGGCTAAAATGGGGTGGTACAATGCAGCTGCCCTCCACGCTTCGATGCCTCTCTCTCTCGCTCCCTCTACTTCTTTTTCTCCTCCTCTGTCACTCTCTCAACTCTCTTTTTTTCTTCTCATATAAACAGTAGCCACTGCCTAGCCAACCAGTGTTGCCCATTCCTCTGAGCTTACTGTGATGAGAGGCTGTTAGCGGCTCCAGCCTCATATGCATGGATGCAGGGTTTCAACTGACACACTGCCACACTTCCTATTTTAGATACTCAGTGCAAGATTTTGACAAACATAAAAGTAATGAGATTGTCTTTGTAACTGCATCGTGGGCTTTATTTAATTTCAAACGACTCCTTTTAATGCTTATTTTTGGAGGAGATTGCAAGAAAGGAAAACATGCACGCTTCCTCCGTGGCACATATATTAACAGCATATTGATTCTCCTTTCAGTCTTCGCCAAATGAGATCTGGTAACATCTTGAAAAATTCACTGATGCCAGTGATTTTAGATTGACCTGCACCAAGGTGATTTCTATTTGGCCAAAGTCTTTCTTCATTTTGAGATGATAGTCTACACTTTTTAGCATTAAACACTTCTTCTAGATCAGTATAAGTCTCGAGTTTCCTGTAACCATGCCCAAACACTGTGTAGTTTTCTAATTAGGCTTTGGCATTGACATTGGCCTCGGTTTACAGTGGAGCAAACAGACGGGTCGGTATGTTGACTAATCCAGTGCAGGCAGAGACGTGCTGACCATGAATAGAGGGCTGATCAATGTAGAGCTGTTTACACAAGCCTAACAGTGTTTGCTGAGACACATTTAAACACAGCCCTCCTGCTCTCATCCATCAACCCAGGTATAGGACCAGGACCGACGGTGTCATTTATCTTTGCGCTGAAACAGACATACATTGTACAGTGTTTATGATGCACTCAGAGAAATATTGTGTGTAGCACAGTATATTGTTTCATTCAAGGAAATCTTCTTTTTATGTTATGGTCAAACTGAATTATAACTAATGATCTTTTACTTTTGTAAACCTGAAGGTGTGGATTGAGTCCTGCAGTGTTGTGTGGGAGTGGAGATATGATTTCTCCATCATGATGCATCAAGAAAGGAACTCAATGTGGTCAGAATCAAGTGCAACATTTTTGTGATGCTAGTTTGTAATTGGGAACTTTTATGTTAAAGCAGACACCCCCTTGGAACAAGTCCTAGTCCTAACAGGTTCTGGTGCCTGTCATCCATCACTTTCCCTAAGTTTCCAACATGGATGTCCCAGTCTGATATTGATATTGGATGTCGGTCCGATATCAGCAAAAAAACGATTATCGGATTATATCGGCCTGCATCTAAAATCCCCGATATCAGCACTCTGATACAAGCAGTCCATTCCAGACTCCGCTCCAGCACCAGCTAGCAGTGCCCGGATCCAGCATGCTGAGCCCACATAGTCACAACAACAGTGTGTACTAAGGTACTAACAAAGTAGCAAGGAGCAGGAGTGTACAATTGTGTGGCAGTATTTTTCGTTTAAGTCAAAAAAAGATGTTGCAGCTGAGTGCAAAACTTGTCATGCACAAATTTGTGCCAATATCAGATCAATATTGGTATTGGCCAATACTGAAGGCTCAATCAAAAAAAAAACAACATCTTAGATTTTTTGGATTCCCCCCCTAAAAACTGTTTTTTTTATCAATATATTCTTCTTTTTTACCCTAACCCCAAGTCCCCCTCTGTAGATCACTAGAAAGAATGCAGCTCAAGGCACCTCTGCATTGACTTCCTTTTTCAACCAATAGCATGATTTGGAACCGAGTTTTTCCATGGACACTATAAACATAATTTATTGGGCTCTTCTCATAAAAAAGAAGAACACAAAAACTCCAGGTTGATTTGCGTGGTTTTTGACAAAAATGTTTGTTCCTATCTGAGGCCCTCCTCTTTCCATTTCGACCTAAGTTATTGTGTCCTTCACATTCTTGGTCCATGGGCAACACACCATGAAAAAGTGAGCCATGATCTACAGCAGCCTCTCTGTGCATCTTGACCCCCATCATCTCAACTCAACTTTCCAGATGAATGCAGCAGGATGGGGGGGTAGGGCACCATGGAGACCACAGGGCATCCTGGGATTGGGGCACGCCGCCTGCCACCAGGTCCCCTTCACTCTGGGGGCCTGTCAGTCAAAGCAGAAAACTTCCCCTTTGAAGCTCCGTAAACTCTCTGGAGTGTCTCGCTGCCCCCGCCACTCTCTCTCTCAACCCCTTCCGGGCTCCACACCTCCATCCCCCTCATCCTCCCTTGTGTTCTCCCCATCTCCCTCTGTTGCTTCCTCCCTTCCCTGAGTGACCCCTTCTCGAAATCCACCGTCCACTGTCCCCGAAAAGTTATCCCCATATCCCCCCTTATCTCCGTCTCAAGCTATGCAATCCAAAAATTGAACTTGAAAAAAAAAGAGTGGCCCAGAAAAGAGCTTAGTTTCACTTTTGCAAACCAAATAAGGTTTAAAATGGTAAGACGTCATGAGAGAGTAACTCTTAAGCCCTGAGACAGACACGCAGGGTGAATCCCTGCAGCTCGCTTGGTTCAATCGTGAGTGACACTGACGGCTCCGGCGTGTTTCCCCATTTCAAGGAATAAAAAAAAGTGAAAGAAAATGAAGCTGCTTTCTCAATCCTGGCACATGCTACTTGATAATCGCTGATTAAGTCATAATTTTCACACAGATCAGGTCCCGGTAACAGAAACTGTGGCAGCTGTTGGTGTTATCAATTAGAGCATTGTTGGTTTTTCATAAATCTAAATCGCACGAATGATAAATTTGACTTATCAGCAGACAGCGTTTACAGTAGATGCATGATGGCGAGGTGTGGGGAGGATGTGCTAAGTGCTGATGTTAAAGAAAACGCTCTGAAGGCACATGTATCATTGAGTGCGGCTCTCCATACCAGACCATTAGACTTGCTGATGGCTTGTTTAAGAAGTGATGAAATGCGTGTTAGATTTGTTGTGACTGGAACAGCTTTGTTCACACCTCACTATGGCTTGTTAGCATTGCCAGTGGATTTCAGATAAGAGCTCATTGACTTCCTGGTTACCTATGCTTAAAAAAAAAAGCCATATTGTGAGAGCGTGTGTGTAAAGGCATGGCTAAACGCGTGCTCATGTGATTTGGGTCCATCTGAGAAAGTGTATTAAAGTATATGGAGCGTCGCAGAATTAATTGAAAGGGGTAAGACAGATAGCTCAAGCCTGGGGCTGCTGAATATGAAGTCTGAGGCTTAAGAGGAGTCAGGAGGGACAAAGATAAAGGTGGAAGACTCAACAGTTTTCTCTCCGAGAAGCCTTGAGTCCTGTCCGGCGAGACAGGAGCAAAACTAAAGTGTTGTTCTCTATTATCTCAGCTAGCCAAGACTGACCAATTAACCACAGCTAGCCGCTAATTAGCTGAATTTTAATTAACACCACAGGCATGACCACTGGCATCACCACCATCCAGGAAAATTCCAGACACATCAGGTTTGCTCAGGAGCTCCTAACTCATTCTTACATCAACCCTCGGTGCAACTTCATAATCTAATGTCTTCGCCAATCATGTCACACGCATCCAGAATCAATTTTGGGAGTCTAGGATTGGACACCTAGGCCATTAGACAAATGACCAGCATCCATCAACCGAGTGGATCTAAGAGGTGGTGAGTCACATGAAACACATAGAGAGGCATTGTTCATTTGACCTCAGGAGTACATTTGACTGCACAGCTTCCCTCTCTTCTTCTTCTACTTCTTCTGTGACGGCGGATGAGTCGTTGCCCCCTCGCCGCAGACGCGTGGCTGGCAGGCCGGCTCATGGCCACGGGGCCCGCTCCTTTGAATAACGGCAGGTTAAGACATAATCATCTTCGCCGAGGAGAAGATTCACTTTGACCCCGTCACCTTGCTCCCCCCATTTCCCAAGCCCTGAGAGAGACGGAGGGAGAGAGACAGAGACAAAGAGAGAAAGAGAGAGAGACAAAAAGAGAGAGAGAGCAAATTACAGTGTGAACCCAGAGGCCAAAAAGAGACAGAGGGAGCGATTGAGGGTGAGGATAGTTAGTTCTCGCCTTTGATGCTTAACTCTCGTCGACAGTGCAAAGACTGAAAATCATAGGGATGTGCGGCGGAAAAAAAAAAACCTCTCTGTGGGTTGCCGC